TGCAGGAGGGGAAACACTACCTCATATGGGGCCTCTCCTCAGACCTGTGGGGAGAGAAATCCAAGTGAGTGCCCACCCTGCACATGTGTGTGCTTGCCCCACCCACCCTTCCAGGACCCCTCCTGACCTGCCCTGTGTCCCTCCTCCCCAGCATCAAGTACATCATCGGGAAGGAAACCTGGGTAGAGCTGTGGCCTGAAGCGGACGAATGCCAAGACGATGAGAACAAGAAGCTGTGCAGGGACCTGGCCAGCTTCAGAGAGAGCTTGGTTGTCTTTGGTTGTCCCAACTGAGCCCTCATCAGGCTGCTCCCCCCAATAAAGCTTCTGTTTGTTAACATAAAAACATTCAAACCTGCAAAAAATTTTTGTGAGTTTATTTGAGCCAAGCTGTTAACAATTGTGGGAAAGCAGAATCTTGACAATTGCCAGGAAGCAGAATCTCGTCGTATTGGGTATTGGGATAATGCTCCAGCGAATGGCAGTTTTTTACCTTGTTTTATACTTTACAGCCAAAGGAGGAGACATAAGTGGGTTACATGACATCCATTGGTGATAGATTAGGGAGGTGGGAGAAAGCAAAGCAGGGAAACCTCTGGGATTGGATAAAAAGTAAAATGATAGACAAACACTTCTTTTACTTAAGTTGGTGCAAGATAGTTAACAATTTTATGTCAACAATGAACTCAATAACAATGAGGGAATTTCTGGACTCCGCAGCGTGGTGCCTGTGCTTTCAGGGGGCCGGGAAAAAGGGAAATTATTTTGACATTCCAACAATATGTTATCGTAGATGCAAAAAGACAATAGGCTCACTCAAGGTAAAAATTGACCTTTGTCAGGGAAGATACTGACCTAGGACATGACTATTCACTATCAACTGCTTTTAGTTAAAGGTTTAATTTCAGAACATTCTTTGTGGCTACTTTAGGTCTTTGAGTTTGCAAAACTGCCACACAGGTCTTCCCTGAACTAGTCAGGTGAGCATGTGACTTTTTTTTCTTCCATAAGTTGTATTCCATGTGATCTCCCAAAGTCTGGAGGTCTGTGCCAGAGGGAAAGCAACAGTTATGGTCCCTAGCTGCCTCACCTGCATCTCAGCTCCGTTCTTACTTGAAATCTCCAAGAATTTTGCATTCTTTCCTGTGCACTGATGCCCTCACCATCATCACCTGCAGCTCGCTGCCCCCTCACCTGAGTTCTCACCTACTTGTTTTACTTGTTTACTTGCCTTCTTACTGCATCCTGAATTTTTACCATTCTCATTGGAATCTGTACCTCTCTTACCTGCATCCTCAACTATATCCACCTACATCTTTGCATCCTCACCTGGCCCCCCACCTACATGTCTGTCCATAAACTTACCTGTATCTCTACTTATACTTTCACCGTCATTCCACCCTCATTCTCATCGTGGACCAGACCTGCATCTTTAAATCCTAATCTGGATCTCTTCCTGACTTCTTATCAGCATCCTTACCTACATTCTACCTACTCAGTTACGTGCCTTCTCACCTGCACCTTCTGCTGCATCTTTAGCTATGTCTTCATCAGCATCATAACCTTACAGTCTCCTCTCCTTTCTCACCTGCATCTGCACCTGTTCTCATACTCCTCATTCACAGCTCACTGTCTCCAATGGCATTCTCACCTGCATTCCCTTTTGTCCTCTAGGCTCACCTCCCAGTCACCACTTTCTAGATGGGCCTGAGCAGGCTCCTCCATGCTTCTGTAGGACCCAGTGGGGAGGCTGTGCCCAGGAGGGGGCGGTAAGGGGCAGGCAGGGTGATATTTCTGGTGGGGGAGCCTGAGTGAGTGAGGTGAAGGCATGGGTCAGCAGTTGAGGAGACAGTGCTGGGGCTGTTGCGGTCACAGCATCACCAGAACTGAGTGGGTTGAGGGGTGGGGATGACAGCCACCGGGTTGAGTGGAACTACTGGTTGCAAAGTGAAACTGGGACTCCAAAGGCCTCATCTAGCCTCTAGATCCTCGAAGACTGTTGAGGGTGGGAACCAAGCACAGGATTCTGGATCCTGTCATCATGGGGGGAAAAAACCTACAGCCTGGAAGTCACCCCAGCACATCCCCCTGGCCCTAGAGCCCCTGGTCCTAGAAACCCCCACCTCCCACTTCCAGGATGGTGGGGGAACACATTCACAGCTCAGCCTAGCTTCCTCCAGCCCCCACTTGCTATATATATATGAAAAAGCAGTTTACCTTTGATAATTTGGGTGTGTCTCATCCAATCAATTGAAGGGATGAAGAGAGAAAAAACAGGTTTCCTGAAGAAAAAGGGATTCAAGACAGCAGTGTAGAAATTCTAGCCTTCAGACTAAAGGCTGCATCAACTCAACTGAATCTCTAGTGCACTGGAGATTTCAAACTTGCTGAGCCACACAATTGCATGAGCCAACTCCTTAAAATAAACCTCTGTTTCTCTGTCTTCCCATATACAAACAGATAGATGACCCAGATTAAATATAGATATAATTAGATACAGAAACCCCTTCCTAATGCAGTTGGTCAGGGAAGTCTCCTGTGAAGGGGGCGGTTCTTGAGTCAAGACATAGATGACAAGGAGGAGGTGGAAAAGACTGTTTTAGGCAGAGGGAACAGTACATGCAAAGGCCCTGAGATACCTGTTGCAGTGTGAGCCAGGGTACAAGGGCTTCAAGATAGTGACACCCACTTAGTGTCTAAGCTCAGGGGATGGCAAGCTTTTTCTCTAAAGGGCAATACAGTAAATATCTCAGGCTTTGAGGGGCGAGAGATAAAATGGAAGCTATTATTAAGGCACTTCCACCCTGCCACGCCGTTTGCTTGGGATGGGCCACTGGAGTGATGGGCGTGACTTGCGGCCCACTGCTGGAGACATTCTCTGGATGAAGAGTGATCAATCTGAGGCTTGGCAATCTAAGCAGGGGCAGGAGTGGGGGTGACCCCCAAGGCCAGTTTCTCTCTCTGCTCCAGTTCTCAGCCAGCCTGTCCCTTCCAGGCCCAGCTCTCTCATCTGGATAGCTGGCCAGAGGCAAGGCGACATGTTGAGTGACCCACCCCCAGAATGAGATTCATCCACTCAGTGCCTTCCAGTCACCAACAGAGGACATTCCAACATGTTGGGGTGGTCAGTGTGCCCATCACAGAGCATGGACAGTGGTCAGGTTTGGGCTGCTGGTCAAGGAGGCAGAGTGGGGTTTAGGGGCAGAGGAGAACCCCCAGCTGTGTCTCTACAGCTCACTAAAGTCCCATCCCTGAGAACTGCTCCTGTAGCTGTACAGAAGCAGGAGGTCCACCGGATTTGGCCTGCTTATTTTTGCTAATAAGCTCAATGGGAGGCCATTGAAAGATTTTATATATTTTTTTAATTTTATAAACATATTTTTATAGATTTCAGAGAGGAAGAAAGAGGGATAGAGGGATTAAAATATCAATAATGAGAGAGAATCATTGACTGACTGCCACCAGCATGCCCCCACTGGGGATCAAGCCTGCAACCCGGGCATGTGACCTTGACCGGGAATTGAACCATAACCTCCTGGTTCATAGATCAATGCTCAATCACTGAGTCACGCCAGAAGTGCCACTGAAAATTTTAAACAGGGGGGAGATGAGAGCTCCCTTAAATGTTAAAAAATCTAATGCAGGCCATTTCAATTCTAGTTATGTACCCCCAAAGAATTGGTGCCCTGACAAATATACGTGCATGCAGGCTCACCACAGCAGCATGATGCACAGTAGCCAAGAGGTAGAAACAACTTAATGTACATCAACAGATGAATACATACACAAATGTGGTCCTTCCACACAATGGAATACTATTCAGCCATAACAGAGGATCAAAGCATTGACACTCACTATGATGTAGATGAACCTTGAAAACATTATACTCAGTGAACAAAGACCACACATCACATATTTCCATTTTTATGAAATATTCAGAACAGGTAGTGGTTGCCCAGGGCTGAGAAGATTGGGGAATGGGAAGTAACTCCTTAAGAACTATGGGGTTTCCTTTGGGGGCATTGAAAATGTCTTGGAACTAGATAGAGTTGCACAACATTGACAATGTACTAAATGCCACTGAGCAACCTCTTTGAAATGGCTAGTTTTAGGATATATTAATTTCACCTCAATAAAATAAAATATAAATAACTAAGCAAGGTCACACTAACTAGAGGATAGAGAATGAATTGTAAGGTGACAAGAGGTAAAGCAGGACATGCAGCTGGAAAGCCACTGCAACCGTCCACACAAGAAATAATGGGAGCCTTAATGTGTCAGTCCATTCGGGCTACTAGAAGATATCCTAGAGTCTAGGGCAGTGATGGCGAACCTATGACACACGTGTCAGAGGTGACACGCGAACTCATTTTTTGGGGGTTGATTTTTCTTTGTTAAATGGCATTTAAATATATAAAATAAATATCAAAAATATAAATCTTTGTTTTACTATGGTTGCAAATATCAAAAAAATTCTACATGTGACATGGCGCCAGAGTTAAGTTAGGGTTTTTCAAAATGCTGACACGCCGAGCTCAAAAGGTTCGCCATCACTGGTCTAGGGCCTAGACTAAATGGTTTAAACCACAGACCTTTATCTCGCACAGTCTGGGAGCTGGAAGCCAAGATGAGGGTGCCAGCTTGGTGGGGTTCTGGAGAGAGCCCTCTTCCTGGCTTGCAGATAGCCACCTGCTCTCTGTGGGCTCACATGGGAGAGAGTATCTCTCTCGAGTGTCATCTTATAAGGGCACTAATCCCATCACTAGGACTTCACCCTCATGACCTAATAATCTCCCACAAATTCCACTCCCAGATACCATCACATGGGGGGTTAGGACTCCACATATGAATTTTGAGGGACAGAAACATTCAGTCCAGAGCACTTAGCTCGGGTGGTCGTGCTATCAAGGAGGTGACAAGTCCTCGGTTCTTGTCTTCTTGAAGCAAAGATTTCAGCCGAGAGACAAAGGCAGCAAAGCAAGCAAGAATTTATTGACTTCATCGAAAGCACGCTCAGTGAAACAAGGAAGGGCCTCGCATAGAAGAAGCAACAGGAGAGCCTAGGCTGGGTTTCTTTAGCTCACTGGGAAGTCAGACAGAAGGCGGCCTTGGAGTCAGGGTCCGGGGCTTAGCCTGGGATGAGCTGCTGCTGCCCATTGCCCCACTGGTTGCAAGTCTCATGGGGTCCCTTAGAGTTTAAGGGATGTGTGCCTATGGGGCAAGGAAA